CCCCTCCTCTCTTGGCACAGAGAGATACCTCTATATACCATATCACCACGTCTCCTCCATCTTACACCGCCGCCCGCAACCGATCTCGCACGCGGATTCGACACGACGATATTAAGGTTTTATAGAGAGTTTATATACGTCGATTCGCGCGCATCTCGCGTATTCTTCCCCTCCCCCTCCCCCCAAATGCGACGCGACGTTCGATACGATTCGCTCGCGAATCGATCGTCGCGTGGCTTCCTCGTGTACGAGAATCAAGACACGAATCTTCTTATAAACCTTCTTCTCATTCGAACGTGCCTCGATAGAGGATGCGACTGAAGCAATTTTTACAAGCAGCGTCCGCTTATGCTTATAAAAGCTGAAGAGATATGATTTCGACTCCTCCTATCTCTTTATTTTATATCGAAATTTTCGTGCGTTCCCTTCATCTCGCGTGGCATATAATATATAAATAATAAAAAATAACGGCAGTTAATTAGCAGGCCACTTTAGCGGGCTCGCGTACATACACTGTTAACGCGGAGAATAACTCGCGCGAGCGTGAAGAAAAAAACACGCCCTCGAACGCGAGGCAACTGAAACTCACCCCGGGGCGAAAAACCGCCCTCCGATCTCCTTTCGCTTACTGTTTACTTTCTCTCTCTCTCTCTCTCTCTCTCTCTCTCTTCCTGTTTCTCTTCACGCGGTTTCTCCGCAGCCGCTCTCCGCGCGTTTCTTTTTTCCCCTCCTCCTTTTTTCCTCTTCTTCATCCTGTTAGCGCCGGGTTGTTTCATTCGTGAAGCGAGAATTTCGCGTAAATATAATCGTCGATCATCATTGAACGACCCGATGGATTTATGCTTGATTATCTCATCATATATTCTCTTACGATAATGTATGATATTTCTCATTTTAAATACACTTTAACAGACCTTTAACGGCAGGTCGACACAGAAATAAGCGCGAAAGATTGTATCTCGCAATTACAGGCTCGCATGCGTGCCCGTAATCGAGGAGGAAGTCGGGAAGCCGTTTCTTCGAAGCGGGAGAGAAAGGAAGAGAGAGGGGAAAAAGCGGGAAAGATTCAGAATCTCACGAGCTGTCACGCGCACAATCGCGAGAGATAGAGAAACGATTCCCTCTCCGGGACGCAACCCCTTCTGCGGTTTTTCCCCCTTTCCTCTGGACAATGGTCCGCGGGCGAAAGGAGAAATTGAATTTGCAACATCAGTAAACTGCGCCGTGGCGTCGTCACCGCTCCCGCAATCGGAAAGGAGCGAGAAACGGGAGGAGTGAAAAGACAGGGGGGACGGGAAGGGTGGAAAGGAGTAGTAGTCTCCAGTACTAGGAGGATAGGGACGGAGAAGGGCACGCGAAAGAGAGAGAGAGAGGGAGGGCGGATCGCGTTTCACGCCTGGCGGATTTCGAACCGTTTGAAACCCAGGTGGAAATAATACAACTTTGTGTTCCTTGTTAAGGATCAAAGGAAATCTACCCCCAATCTCGATGTCGAGACTCTTGGCTGGTCTTTCCGTTCGCCTCTCTTTCGGTCTTTCCGACCGGCATGAAACTTAGGCAAAGCGTTTACTGACTGTATGCTTTACTTAACAACTTTCAGTAATAATACGTAAAGTGGAATCGAGAGATGCAGCTTTTTCTTTTTCATAGAAGCCCGAGATTTTATAACGTTGAGCTGTTATAACACTGAACGTATCGATAAATAACTCTTGAGTCTATGAATAAAATGGAAAAAAATAAAATAAAATAAAGAAATTTACAATATTTTTGTGCAATAGAATCAGATAAGGAAAGTCTATAAAATTAATAATAAATTAATAAAATTAATTAATATTATGAGAAATAATCATTTATATGGTACCATTTTTTATTTCTCTCCGTAGTACTTGTGTAATATCGAGAGTTTGTATCTAAAGTAGTATTTAAATGTTTATGAAGCAAAAAGCCATATGTAAACATTAAATACACACATATATATATTATCATGCCATTAGAATTTAATCATTGTATTTTATAACAAATACAGATTGCATTTCTCTGAATGTAACACTATACTGATACGCAATGAATATTTTTCATTGTATGTCACCATTGATAGAAATTTTATAATAAAAAATATTATATACACTATTTTATACTACGTATTTTCTTCTTTTCTCTGTATAGCGCCTTGAGTCGGACTGTAAAGGAATATTGCAATGTTAGCATAAATATGAAGTAATAACTTCAATGTTAATATTTTCTCTTAATTAAAAAATCATGCTTTAACCATAATTGGAGAAATCAATTTTAAATAAAATAAATATTCCATGTATGGATGTATATATATACATATATATCCTAACATTCTATATATTCCATAGAAAATTGTTTTGCCCAAAAAGGCATAAATAGCCACTTACCTAAAGGATCAAACCTTATAAATTCTAGTTTGTCAGCCAGCCTCTCTCGACTACGCACTAACTGATGACCGCTTATAAGACTTTCTGTGAGGACTAAGATGTACCTGCGATGAGAAACAACAAAACATTTAGATTATACATTACACTGTTACAAAAACACCAAATGTCTTTTGATAAGAAATAAAAGCAAATATCTTTCGGGATTGATAATTATATCTAATAATATCTAATTAATTAATAATATCTTAATAATGTCTTAATAATATCTATTAATAATATTTAAATTATATGTAATATAATATCTATTTTTCCACGAAAAAAATTCTGTTTAATTGATCTCTGATTACGTTTTCATAAAAAGTTGCATAATTTTTTGCACACGTCTTTGATAATTAGTAAAAAAGCGATGTTTCGCCGCCTCTCCCGTGATTAAATATCTACTCTGCATCAATATTCTAACCTCGAAATTAGAGTTCCTCGAAATTAAAGCTTTCTCACTTACTTGCTTTTTGTCTTTTTCAATAGCGCGTTCGTTAAGAACATGATGACGAGAATTTTCTTCGATATCGCGATTCAAAACATCATCTCTATCGTACGATCTATCGTGAATGAATAATAATAAACCGTACTTATAATACGAGCGATTCGCTATACATTTTAGGTTAGGATTAGCAATGTAACATTGCGCCATCTTTACGTTAATATCACTGTCGATAATATTGGTAAAGTTACCATTCATGGTAATACAACGGGAAAATATCTTCTTTATCAACTACAATTAACATATTATTTATTTATAATTATAATTTATATATATATATTT